GTATGTATGGATCACTTGGGTTGTTACCAACATCTGGTGAAAATTTCATGTCATTAGCACCTCTAGTAATATATTTACTGAGAAAAATGTTGACGAGTTCAATACTTATTTTACCCGCTGTATATATTTTAACAGAAGCTACTGACCTCCAGCAGCTAGATCATGCAGACAGCAGACCTTCAGCTACTGTATTTGTCCTGCAGAGCGTGTTGAAACAGAGGAGGAACCTGCTATAGAAGAGGATGCGTCTGCTGAGCTGCATAGACTACGGTTGGAAGTGATGAACCAGAAAAGCCAACTGGAAGCTGCATACATCCAGACAGACCAACAGAAGCAACAGCTCAAGTGCCAAGACAGCGAAATGTCAACATTAAGGAAGCAGCTGGAAGAGCGGGATGCAAGACTAAAGGCAGTCAGTTATGATCCCAGGGGTAGACATAAGGATTTTTTTCAAGCTGTCCAATGGACAACCTGTTGACAAAACCTGGTTGTCCGCAAAACATTTTGGTTGTCCAAAAAAAAAATCTCAATAAAAATGTAATTTAATAGGTAGGCTATATTGTTCTGTATACAAAGTTTACTGTATACAAATGTTCTGTCAGCAGGTTAATAGTTTCAGGAACTGCTTGAGTAAAAAACTCCTCATCTTCTTTGAAATAGAGAGCAAAAATCAACATCCAACAACCACAAGCTTCTTGCTTACAGGTCAAACATTTTAATTTAAATAGTAGTATATCCAACTATCTGTGGTTCACTTGCACCTCCACCCCACTCGTGTGTGTCAGGAACACTCGCTGCTTTTTTCCTGAGGCGGGATCTGTTTGTCCAAAATGAAGGTAGGTTGTCTTGGACAACCTAAACAATGGTTATGTCGACCCCTGTGATCCTGACAGCTTTGATGATGACGCTGTGCAGTTTTACCTGGGATTAAAAAGCAAACGCACATTTGCTGCTTCATACAAACATCTTCACCACAAAGCTGCCAGGATGTGTTATTGGAGGGGTGAAAATGTTGATTATGATCAGGCCAAGGGTAACACAGGTCGCAAGAGGCATCTGACACCCAAACATGAGTTTGTAGCCGTCTTGGTCAGGCTTAAGTTAGGCTCGTTTGTCAAGGACCTGTCTATCTTGGCATCAGCTCTGCACATTTCTCAAGGATGTTCACCTCCTGGATCATGACTGTAGGTTAGACTTACTCTGGAATTAAATTGAGATTTAAACCTTTGTTAAAGAAAACCTGCATTTTATTCACTTTGTCAACAAAGATTGGCTTCACCCTCACTTCTGTTAGGAAATCATCATAATTTAGTCCTAACTAAACAAAGTGTGCATACATTTTAAACCTGGGCTACAAAAACAGATTATAGTTAGTCTGTATTAAACAGCCCTTTAGATAACTACCCTTATCCCTACTGAACTGCTAAACGATCAGAGAGCAACATTTTAGCTTTTAATGGCTAAAAATCAAACTGTCAGGAGTGTAATCAATGAGTCTGTTTGAGCAAGACAACATTTTATTGCAAAATATGGCTTATATAGTTTGAACAACTCATCTTGTCAATGGCAACCATTGCGTCAAAGCAAAAATTATTTTGATTCTACATTTTAGTTTTGTATAATTTGTCCGTTTTCTGTAAATACACAAGAAACTGAAAATAGCAACAAAAAATAAATAAATAAAAAAAAACACCCTGTTTCCTGGTGGTGAATAAAACATGCTTGCTTTCTTTGTTTTCTTTTATTGTTAGTGTGCTGTAATACCATTAAATATAAGTCACAGATCAGAAAATGCAAAGCAGTGAAATACAGTTGCCGACGGGATAAAATGTCTATTTTTTTTTTTTTGTAAAATATACCCCCTCAGATCTTTAGAGAGAAAAGAAAATGTTGACCCAAAAACTTTGAACCAGCTTGTGCCTCTAAACCTTGTTACAGCCAGGAGTAATGCTGTTAAGTTGTAAACAATTCACAAATGTAGTTATTTATTTTTTTATGTCTGACAAGACTTGTAGGTTAGTCATGGCAAAGTTAGATTTTCTAAATCCCTGGTACATTATTTTCTGCACATTACTCCTAATCTTTGTTTTATTCCACTAGCGAGTATCACAAATGATTTATTCTTATTTTCATTCAAGTTAATTAGTCGCCTGCAATCAATACAGTTTAACTGTAAAGGCCACAGAGCCACAGAAAAGAAAAATGGATTCAGGATTTATGACATTCATTAAAAACATGCTCCTGATGGCAAACACATTTTCAGATTTACTTCAGTCGATAAGAAACTTTGAGTTCAAAAACAAAGCATCACAATAAAAATACACATCAGTATGTGACAAAGTAGAATAGGATGGCCTAGAACTTGAAAAGTATATAGGAGGACATAAGTTTTCAAAACAAGTGATATAACTCAGTTTGCACCTGAATGGTTAGGGAAAAGATGTGAAGCTGTAAATGTAGGTCCTATGAAGGAATAATGAGCAGGAATCATCTGTGAACCTTTTTTCCTCCACGTTCTTAAGACAGGAGTCAACCTGCAACACAAACGGAGCAGAGCTGGGATTATGGACACACAAGAGACGTTTACAAAAAAAGTAAAAACACTAAAACCTCTTGCATACTTCGTAACAATAACTAGTGAAGTGCTGAAGCGATTTGTTGSCAGTTTTCTGGTGAAACTGACAGAATCACGGTGCCTAGCTGAAATAATTACACCTTCTTACCCTGAAATCTGAGTAGAAACAAACAAAAGTGGAGGTTGCAGGTTTCAGGCTTCCAGCCCCAGCAGCTCCACATCGAAGATGAGAGTGGCGTTCGGTGGGATGATCCCTGGGTGACCTTTGCTGCCGTAGGCATAGTCTGGTGAACAGGTGAGCTTTGCCCGCTGGCCGACACTCATCTGGAGGTAAAAAAAGACAAGTTTAAAGAAGAAAAACAAAAAATAAACCCATAACTGAATTTAAACAGCACAACTTTTTTTTTGTAAATCTGGGATAAAACTTGAAATGTAGATAATTGAATGTAGAAACGACTGCAATCCTGTTTGCAAAAAAAACCTAATCTTTACAATTTAGGTTGAAAGATTTTCCAAGGTTTTCACATCACTATTCAATTTTTTTTTTACAATTAACTCAGCTGATATAGTGCCAAAAGGTTTTATATTTTTAATCCTAATTAGCACAAAACATGGGAAGATTTTTTTTGCTGTAAACTAGATATTTCAAAATCCCAACTAAAATATGAAGCTTATTGGGCTTTTGCAGTTGACAACATATACAGACCTCAGACTGTGGAGACGTATAAAATGAGCCGTACTTTGTTCTTTGGTTCAGGAAATGTTTGGAATCCAAATCCAAAAGAGCTGATATTTTATGGTGTGACTATTTTAATTCAGTTTTACTTTTTATTTTTATTATTATCATCATCATCATCATCATTTCTAGCATTTATTTGATTAATTTTGACCTAACACATTGTTTGACTGAACTTCTGTTTTTTTGTTCTATAGAAATAAAACCRACGCTGATTAAAGGATAAGGAGCGATTTATAGGGAGTCATCACCTGTGGGTTTAAGCTTCATCTCTGCAGCAAATTACAGACTGACATACTGTATTTACTTGATTTATTAAGTCATTTGAGAGCTCTGAATACATTAATCACAAAAATACAGACATGTTAATTAACTAAGTTGGACTCAGCAACAKGTTTAATAAAAGGTAAACATGACTGTTTAGAATTTGAATTTTATTTTCTTCTACTTACAGGAGCTGAGTTTTAAATGATTTAAATTTTTCATTTCAATTTACCTGATGCAAAAAGTCAGTCATACGTCTTTAGAATCCTTAAGTGTACAGAGCAGACCGTACTTCTTAAGGAAGCTGAGATCCTTCAATGTCTGCAGCAAGATGCTGCAGATCTTCTACAAGTCTGCTGTTGAGAGTGTCATCTGTTGGGGCAGCAGCATCAGAGCCAGGGACCTAAAAAGGCTAAACAACCTGATAAAGAAGGCTGGTTCTGTTCTGGGGACGACTGTGGAATCTCTGGAGATGATGGTGCAAAGAAGGATTTTACATAAAATCAAGAACATTGTGGACAACCCTGACCATCCTCTTCATCAGACTGTCATAGAAAGACAAAGTGTCTTCAGTCGGAGGCTTCTTCAGTTTGGTTGTAATACAGAGCGCTACAGAAGAGCGTTCCTGCCCACAGCCAGCACCATCTACAATAACTCTTTAGTTCAATGAGTTACATCASCACCTAATTTCCCTCTGGGATCAATACAGTATTTTTGAATTTGTACTGAATTGATTTTCTAATCTAAGTTACTTCAGAGAAAAGTGTATTCTGAAATCATATAATGTAACACACTAGGGGTGTAAGAAAATATTGATACACTGAAATATCGCGATATTTCATTTCCCGATACTGTATCGATATTCTAAAGCCCTGTATCGATTTTTAATTAAGGTGTAAAATGTTAAACTTCTTGCCAACCGTTTATTTTTGTGTTGTAGTTCAGCCTCTGACCACTAGTTGGCAGCAGTGAGCCAGCCATTTGGCTCCTCTACCTCTTGAGCGCCAGAGAGTAAGGGTAGCATTAGCATTGTGAGTAAACATTAGCTTTTCTTTTTTGTCAGTTAGAGGTTTTTATTTAATCGAATTTTTGGACAAAAAAAAATCGCAATATATCGCCTTGCTGACAGTATCGCAATATATCGGGATATATCATATCGTGACCCCTCTGTTATGTATCGTATCRCCAAATTCTTGCCAATACACATCCCTACAACACACACGTGCACAGGGGAATGCTGTGTATCTTAAACCACTGCGGCTTCAGAAAACTGCAAGGATTACCATCTGGTCCCACTCAGGTCAAAAGGTTTCAGTCTAAAGCAGAAAACTGAGATGAGAACTTTGGCAAACCAAGGAGGGAAAACATTTAGCCTCTATCACCAAAGACTCAGACACCAGGAGAGATAACAAGCTTGGCATAAAACACAATCCAGTSATGTTTGGACCTGCCATTTGTTTGAAGTGGGCGTTTACACCTCAGTCCAGCTGGACCTGAGCTGGTGTATACACAGTTTAAAAAGGCATTTGTTAGAATCCTAAACACTGACACAGAAATGAAGGGAGCAACAGCTGATGCTACAGGACCTAGCTGGTATTCAGTTCAGAAATAAAATAAACATAATGTTTTGGCAGAACAAGAAGTCCTGGAGTGTAAATTGCTCTGCAATGAGTTTGAATTTTCTACACAACTCATAAGACAGACTAGTAGAGTACTTGAAGTACCTTAAATGTCTAATTAGTCCAACCAGAGTTTTGCTACCAGCATTAAAGTAAACAAAGACTAATAAACAAAATTGTGTTTTCCCCTCATGAATCTGGAAATAATTAGGCCTTATACAACATGAACTTATTTAGACATGGATAACTAAGCTTTTTTTCCCCAGCTGTTCACCACAGCGAGTCATCCTCCTCCATCTCACTCTGTCCTCATTCCAGATCCCTCTTTAACTCCAACTATAGGCTCGTTCATAAAGACAGTTCTGTGAAATGGCTGCATGACCCATCGGTCTTTAAGCTCCCTCTGTTCATTCATAAATCACAAGTGGACGTCCTTTCAATATGACATCAGTCTAAATCTAATTACTGCAGGTTAAAATTCTTACATCAACACTTCATTAGAAAACACTAAACTGTGTACTTTTACTAAGGTCATGTAAACAGTATACTTATCTTTACATGAAAAACTTTGACCTGTATGAAGGAAGCAGCTCATAAATGTACACCTCTCAGTGTACAGAAATCTTGTCAAGTATTTTAATACAGATATCTTGAATTAGAGCCTTCATWCAACTTAATGGTAAATCTGAGATCATTTATACTAGTCAAAATATAATTACAGATTATATAAATATTTCAGTTAACGAATATGTCTAGCCATCAAACTAATTACAGTTATCTGGAAGTGAAGTCGATTTTATGTCAACTTGAGCCTGCCTTACACATCTGTGTTTGAAGAATCAGCTTCACTTTCTCAACACAGCTGCTGACRGAGAGATGATGATGTTTTAACTTTAGGGGGCTTCATTTTCCTACACATTTTCATACACTCAGAATTTTCTATAGAGCAGAACTTTATCACTGTGGAACAGATTTTGTGTGTTACCACTGTGAATAGGCACCACTCGGACTCCAGCATTAATTTTTTTTACAGGGAACTGAAAACTGATTTATCAGACCTTCAATACTCGAACCACTTCCACACCACTAAATTACGATGGTCTTTATCTTAACTATTTCTTCTGTTTTTTTTTTTCCAACTGTGGACAATTGCTCGCTCAGTTGGTGCTGATATCCACTGTGTTGTAGGTAGCATTATTAGCGTAGTGTAGTGGTTGCGCTGAGCCTGTGGTGTACGTCATCACACACTGATGTAACATATATGATCCAATTTTTTTTAAAGTCATATTATTATGTTGAAATATTAATAATATAGTAATACCGGTTGCATTTTTATGCTTTGAAAAGATAGGTATCAGATTGGTATTGGCAAGGCTAATCATGTTTTAAAATTAGATTGTACTGGGAGCCCAACAAATCTGGATCGGGACATCCCTAATTCAAATGAGTTTCCATTTCAGTGTCCATGCTAGCATATAAAGTCTGCAGACACAGTATAAGCTGCATGGGCCTTATTTATTAGTTTTGAGGTTTATTATTTATTATTATTTACTCAAATTGTGAAAATCAAACAAGCACAGACATAAAATGCCCAAATGGTAATACTTTCCAAATCACATCTGCAAAAATTTCTATTATATGTCATATTCAAAATGCTTTGTAGCATTTTTAATTACTTAGATAACATCCCAGTTTGCTTATAGGGAGGACCAACCAAAGTGATTAGGTGAAGGGAAAATCAACAGTTTTGTAATAACAGCTTTTCTTAAATTATTTAATGGGGAATATATACGAGAAGGGTCAAGTTTGTGCAGATCATACTTTAAAACTACCGTGAATTGAATCCACAACTCTGGTTTTAGCAAAGTAAACATAAAGCCCAAAAGATCTGTCCATGTTCATGTTATGAGTTACTGATGATGAGTGACCTGAAGGGCTTCTCCTCACCTGAGCTACTCCTTCCTCCCAGCCACGAATCACCTCCTGATGGCCAATTTTGAATTTAAAAGGCTTTTCTCGAGATCTCGACGAGTCAAAGACTTTCCCATCCACCAGTGTGCCTGTACACATTAAACCAGAGAGAGCTTTGTTGGGATTTTCGACATGTAAAGCTTTAAGATTTAGCTTCGCTTGATGACTGAAGAGCTAGCATTAGCTGCTTAACATCATAGCATAACACCAAATCGGCTTTAGCAGCAGCTGGTCCAACTATTTCTTTGTCCGATTTTCAAAAAAGCCAAGCTGAGTAATGGAGTACATGACAGAAATAACTGGCTTATTCGCTGACTTTAGCATCAACTTAGCAGATGTTAGCAAACAAACATAAGACGAATTTATCAGAGCATAGCGTTAGCTTCGATGCTAACAGTCAGTTTTGGACTTCCAGTTGTGTTCGCTAAACGARCTGTTATGACTTGCTATCTCCTTCCCTTAAAACAACAAACTATCTTGCCATTAACGAGACATATAACCATATAAAAATTAAAATAAGCCGCTTTTAAACGTTTCAATAGCACTGACTCACCGACATAGTGGACCACGACRCGTTGTCCCTTCTTCGGGAATGTCCGTCCTAAACGACAGGAGGAAACATAGAAAGTATGGTTTAATGATGAACCAAACAGCACGGAAATACAATGTATGGAGAATTAGACTAAACGTCGCATTAATCTAACCATCGCCTGGAGTTATTGTCTCGATTTCTACTCCCATTTTAGCTTCTCTTCTGTCGAGTGGACCTCCCCTCTGCAACGAAAGGAGGCAGTAGGRATTCCTGCAGTACGGGGAATTTGGTGTATGGGCGGAGTTTGTTCTGACCGTGATTGGCGGAGTTCCTTGTTTGGCCCAAAATTTGAGCCGTGATTGGCGGAGAAATAATATAGGCGGAAGAATTGGGATATGGGCGGAGTCAAGATGAACCGTAATTGGTCGAATTGACTTGTCTTGTGTCCAAGTGAAAAGATGAAGTAATAGTCAAATTATTGTAAAAATAAAATAAAAGCAATTTATTGACAGTGTTGTATAAATCACCTGAAAGTAATACCTGTGTAAAAGTACAAATATCTTACCATAAAATTACTTTGGTAAAAGTTAGTCTCCTCTGAGAATATTATTTGAGTAAAGGTATTCCTCAACTATTAAAAGTTATTTTTCTTAAAAGAAAATTTCTGATATAAAATGTACTCAAGTATTAAAAAAAAGGTAAAAGTATTGAGTAAAAGGGAACAGTTAGTGTTTTCAAATGAATTGGGAGATGATCTCCCCCCAAAAATATGTGTTTAAAGGTAATAATGACTATGAAGTTGAATTAAACTGTTGACAGTGCACAGCTGTGAAGTGAAAACCATTTCAGGGGACTACCTCTTGAAGCTCATCAAGAGAATGCCAAGAGTGTGCAAAGCATTAATCAAAGCAAAAGGTGGCTACTATGAAGAACCTAGAACATAAGACATATTTACAGTTGTTTCACACTTTTTATAATTCCACGTGTGTGTGTGTGTGTGTGTGTGTGTGTGTGTGTGTGTGTGTGATATAAGCAAACCACCGTAGATATTGTTGC